AAGGTTTTATTAGTTTCATTCAAATAATATTGGTCTTATATTGTTTGCATAATTGAAATAACTAGGTCCCCTCCTCTTTGTTATCACTTTGAACATATTGCTCATTGTCAAATTTTCACGGCTATCATTTTATCCTCTAAATGAACCTTGCACCCTGCCATTTTCTTCAGTAAATTTCAATGGTAACAATAAGAAAGATTGAATGCTTAACAAAATGTTACAAAACACGCCTACGTCAGAAAACACCACGCTCATAAATAATCCATCTACGTGTATAATAGAACCAATCACAGATATTCTTCTTCTTAAGCCCTAACTCAAGCAAAATATCCGGGAGATTTCCGCGTCGAATGGTTGTTTTTTGAGACCGGCTTTTTGTTCATTTTGTATATCTAGCCTAAATATTTTTGTAAAAAAACAACAACATCATATTCTCGAGCTACCAGTTGAAACATCATTTGTCTAATTCCGTTGCAGATTCGTTTTCGTACGAGTTTGGAGGGCATTCTTTGCACAATTTGAGAACCAGTGCCCAAACCCAAGCAATATGTCCGGAAGATTTCTGCGTAGCATTTTGGACCTGATTCCGTTGAATATTCGATTTTCTAATAGTTTACAGTTTTTTTACACTATATAAGGCCCATGGTCCTAACCGATGAAAAATTATCCAGGATGTGTCCGCGTAGCAAGGTCGTTTTTTAGATCGGTTATTTGTTCTTTCTGTATATAAAGTGTATATATTTTTATTTTTATTTAAAAGAACCTTGCCCCTCACCGCTGTGGGTTCGAATCCCGACAGTGGACTTTGGATTCTATCATGTGAGGAAGCTATCCAGCTAGCTTACGGAACGTCGGTGGTTCTACTCAGGTGCTCGTTCGTGCCTGAAATAATGCACGGAAGGGCACCTGAGGTCTTCCTCCACCAGTGAAGCTGGAACGTCACCAAATGACCTATACTGTGTCGTTGTGACGTAACCCCCCCCCCCCCCCCCAAAAAAAAAAAAAAAAAAAAAAAAAAAAAAATTAAAAGAACCCAAACAAACACCACATTCTTGAGCTAACATAATATAATGTAACAATATAAGGACCAATGCCCTACCGCAAGGTAATACTAGAATCCAGGAGATTTCCTCGTTGCATGGTCGTTTTTTGACCGGCGATTCGTTCATTCTATATGTAAAGTCTATAAAAGTTCGGGGAAAAAACATCATTTTCTCGAGTCAACCATTAAAAGAACGATTTGACTGATTCCGTTGCAAATTCCATTTTGAACTAGTTTGGAGGGTCTTCTTTACACAATATAAGCCCCAACCCAAGCAAAATATAAAGTGTATATATATTTGTGAAAAACATTGTATTTTCGAGCTAACCGGTAAAACACCATTTATCTGATTCTGTTGCATATTCGTGTTTGTACTACTTTGGGGGTCTTCCATGCACAATATGAGGACCATAGCTGCATCAATACTAAGGTTGTAGTACTTAAGTACCAGTACCAGTACTTGCCAAGTTATGCAGTTCCATTACCAGTACTAGATTTAAGCTTGGTACTGCAGTACCATTACTTTTATATATTCATCAAAGTTTGAATAAATACACAGTGTCAAACAAAATGATTGCAAACATTATTCAGCAAAGAAATAAAATCATTATTTACTTTAAAGTTTACATGGCCTTTTTACAAATATACTTTTTACAGAAGAGAACGGAATAGAACAAATTTTATTACACGTAAACTGTAGAGTTTCTAGTTTTTAACAATGAATTATACATATATAATATAATATTGAACGATACATATAGGATTAAAACTGAATGAAATTATTATGTATAACACAATAATGGATGAACTAATATTTTCTTAAGAAACAACATGCATACGTTATATAATGAAAAAGCAACATGTAGTTGCATGTTTAAGAACAAAGAAAAAACACATGGATTTGCATTATGTGATAATGTTTGATTTCAACAGATACTTAAAATGGAAATTAGGAACTATAACATAATACATACACAGTTCAAAAAGGGAATCATAACAGTTACTGTGAATATAATATTATTGTTAATAAATTACCCTACTCCAAACAGTTACATTGGCACATTTGAAAGGATTTGATTTCTTATTTTAAAAGCCTCGAAAATATAAATGCTAAACGTAAGTAATTCTGAAAATTTTCGACTATTTAAAAGGTTAACAAATTTAAACATACTTGGTTTTTGTCTGTAGTATTTCTTTATATATTTTTGTAGACTTACATTGTAGTGTGGACAAACAAAAACAATATTATAATTTTGTAACACAATGTAATCATCTTTCATTTAAAACACAACTTACAGTCTTTTTGTAGCCTTTCACATCTTCACACCTCTTTTCAATTTATACCAAAGTAAATATCAACTTTTAATATATGGTGCTAGCAAGATCACTTGAAATAGGATTATTTAGAATAGAAGCGATTATACGTTTTGCTCTTTTGTACGGTGACACAAAGGTGACATGTGTGTGTTTTTATTTATCTCGTGGCAACGAGATACTATGTCGTGGCCACGAGTTACTAAGTCGTGGCCACGAAATAGCTAAGTCGTGGCCACGAGATACTATGTCGTGGCCATGAGTTACTAAGTCGTGGCCACGAGATAGCTAAGTCGTGGCCACGAGATACTTTGTCGTGGCCACGAGTTACTAAGCCGTGGCCACGAGATAGCTATGTCGTGGCCACGAGATACTATGTCGTTGACACGAGTTACTAAGTCGTGGCCACGAGATAGCTAAGTCGTGGCCACGAAATACATTGTCGTGGCCACGAGATACTATGTCGTTGACACGAGTCACTAAGTCGTGGCCACGAGATAGCTAAGTCGTGGCCACGAAATACTTTGTCGTGGCCACGAGATACTATGTCGTGGACACGAGTTTTTAAGTCGTGGCCACGAGATAGCTTAGTCGTGACCACGAGATACTAAGTCGTGGCCACGAGTTACGAGATAGCTAAGTCGTGGCTACGAGATAATTAACCAATCAGAATACACTATATATATATATATATATTTTTTTTTTTTTTTTTTAACTTTATAACTTACTTTTATATGTAACATTAATCTTTGAAAATACTGAAGATATCTACTTTGAACTTGCCTTTAATATCATATTAGAAAGTCAACCTTCCAAGGCCCATCATACATTAATTGAGACTATAGCTCTTTGTTGGGACACTTTTGTGATCGAATTTGGTCAGTTTGTACGTACTACGGCCTGTTAACCTTGTTTATACGATAACATGAGAAGGAATATGTCCTGGTTTATTTTATTTGGAAGGGACATTGCCCATGGACAGTAGATAGCCTGTAAGATAAATCATTGTCTGATGAATAATTTAGAAAGGATAAATCATGGTGTATATAACCAAGGAAGATCATTGCACCTGATCAGTAGCTTTCTCGTGGCACAAGAACACCCGAGAGGTCCCTATGATGACGGGATGGCCCATATCTGGCCACCCTGTACTTCATTGTTATTGAAAATATTCACTGCGGACCATGGCCAGCCGCCTATTCATGTAAAACTAGTAATATCCTAGTATACTATATTATAAAAAGGTTCTTTTAATAATCTTTTAATAATGGTATGAGATACCAGCTCCTCTTTTAGTATATATCTATATACAGAATTTATGAATGATACACATAACATGTAAACAAACCAAACACACACTCTATTGGTCAAATACGACCGAATGCTTTATTATAAAGTGTATTTTAAAATATAAAATGAATATACATGTCTAATTATGTCAAACAGTCGCGTTATCTTGTCAAATGCGGCGTTGACTGGTTTAAACAATGTCTAATTAATATGTTAAACTTGCTGTTGTTCATTAAAAGCTTTTCTCAGTCTTACTATGTCAAATAATCGTAACACATCTTGTCATTTTTTTGTTGACACACCTGACCCGGCCATAGATCAGGTCTTCACTGCTCTACTGAAGTCAGGGTCTATTTTTTCTCAATGTTCTCTGTTCTCAATGATGGGTCTATATATCTTTTGTCAATGTTTTTTTTTTCTAAAAAAAATATATATAATATCCAATCCATAGAGGAAATTAAACCAGTATTTGTTTCATAAAATTTCAAGTCCCAGTGCAAAAAACCTACAGCAACACAATGTATTACATGTACTTCTTAAGGTATTGAATGAACATAAGAGCGGATGGAAGGCGTTTTCTTTTCGACCAGTGCATGTAATACAATAGGGAGATCCACTTCTCATATGTTGTTGTTTTAATTAAAGTTATTTTTTCTGGCAACAAAAATATGTTATTAATAATAGAAAAACTTATTATCAAATGATAAAACCTTTACTGAATAAATCGAATAAACAAAACGAATATTATCGTTACTATTGGTTGTTTGATAGAGTTTTAAGTGTTTTTTTTTCAAAAACTTATCTAATTTTAATATTAAACCTTTGTGAGAAAAGATCACACCAATTTGTGGCTTACAGTTGGTTTATCGAACCAAATATTAGACGTACAATAAGAGAACTGGAAATATTGTATATATTTTCGGATAGATATGGAAAACTCTTGTATATCGTTTTGTTATTAAAGAAAAACATGTTGGGACTTAAACTATTCGAATATCTCGTTTTAAAACTACTGATACATTATTCGTTTGCATGTGCATATCAGGTGGACGGTTGAATTTGCAGCAACAAATACTAAATAACTTTCTTAATACTTTAAAATTTAGAATTTAATTTTGACGATCATGCACAATTATAAGTTCTGATCAGCATGCACAATGCTATTCTTCAAGAAATTAAACAATCACAAATATTTGAAAACAAACATGCTCATAACGTATCGCATGATCGCTTAAAGGAGTATCGCACCGCTATACGTTCGACCCCCTGATTTGTTGCACTAATCTCTTACACAGTGAATCATCAATACGGCCGTCGGTCATTCGCTAATAGACGTCGTGCCGTATTTATGTAAAATATTGGTGGGAAAAGTTATGCGTGGTTGAATTTACACACCTGTGCATGTATGAATCATTAGCCTCGAGCAAACGTAACTTGCACGGTGATATAAATAAATATTTAAATGGAGATTTGCACTTATCTACTTCAATTGCTGTTTGAAAACCTGTTTGTTTAAATCACTGATTTGGGATAACTCGTCCAGGTTTATTCACGTTTTAAAGGTAAATATATTTAAATAAGACTTGACATCATTTAAATACACTGATAAATGTTTGATGTGTATTGTTTTCATATCTAATACAATCACAGATCGGAACAGAGCAATACTTTAATTAACAAAACAGAACAGAACATATTCACGTATTTTATTTGAAGCTCATTGTCGTGAAACAATGAAAAGAAAAACATTAACCCTAGAACTTTACACGTAGTAACACAAGAGTATACAAGATATATTAATATATATTTATAATAAGTGATGTGGAAAATGAGCATGTGAAGAGCACAGGAGATTGACATTCTATCAATAATTGAAAAATATATGCAAATAATTATATAATGACGGCAAATTTACCCCTCTATACTATGAATAAACACAAGGAATGCACACTCGATATACATTTTATCTAATTGCACGCGTGGGATACTGATCAACTTCAACAAACTAGTTTAGCAATTTTGATACACAATACAAAATTATACATTTTACAACCGCTGTTATTTTAAATCAAAGCATTGCATAATAATAAATTGACAAATTTACTCAAATGTTAACAAATAATTTGTCTGGCACTCCATTTTTCAATTATTGATAGAATGTCAATCTCCTTTGCTGAAGAGGTACTATCAGAATTTATATTATTTAAACATCATGTTATATATATGAGTAGGATTCTGGGTAGAATAATAATATCTTTATTTCCTCCACTATATGTTGCTGTTTGTGTAACAATATTGGTCAATTTTGGAAACGTATTATAGGACAATAGTTAGTATAAATGAGCCGCGTCACGACAAAACCAACATAATGGGTTTGCGACCAGCATGGATTCAGACCAGCCTGCGAATCCGCGCAGTCTGATCAGGATCCATGCTGTTCTATTTGAAATAGAGTTGGTAAGCGAACAGCATGGATCCTGATCAGACTGCGAGGATGCGCAGGCTGGTCTGGACCCATGCTGGTCGCAAACCCATTATGTTGGTTTTGTCGTGACTTGGCTCATTTTCAAATTATCACATGTATGGAACAGAATTAGTGCATTTATTTTACATTGCTTGATAAATTGATATTGGAACTTACATTATGTGTCTCTGTCTTCTATCTTGTTTTTTGTCTCTGTTTTCTATCTTGTTTTTTGTCTCTGTCTTCTATCTTGTTTTTTGTCTCTGTCTTCTATCTTGTCTGTGTCTCTGTCTTCTATCTTGTTTTTTGTCTCTGTCTTCTATCTTGTTTTTTGTCTCTGTCTTCTATCTTGTTTTTTGTCTCTGTCTTCTATCTTGTCTGTGTCTTTGTCTTCTATCTTGTTTTTGTCTCTGTCTTCTATCTTGTCTGTGTCTTTGTCTTCTATCTTGTTTTTGTCTTTGTCTTCCTTTGACCTTTACTGATCTATTTGTATCAACTAAATAGAACAACAACAAAACCAAAATTCTGAATATATAGTATATATTGTATCGAGCACTTGGGTAAAGATGTTACAATCCATTACAATCCAACAAACATATATATAAACATATACCAGTATACTAGTAAATCTATTAATAAATGCATCCATCACTTTCATAAATGATACAGTATCAATTCAAACAACTAATACCAATATATATGAAACAGTAAACATGTAAGCATTCGTATTGTTACTAGTAAACATATTTTCCCCGAACTTTTGTTAATCAACAAGTTAAATCCATGTTAAAAATTAAAGCGACTGTAAAGTATCGATACCCAAAGCTGAATGACTTTCAATTACAATTCATAATGCACAGTAACTCGTGCATACGTAATTGAACAAAACAACTTCTGATTGGTACATTCAAAAAGATCTATCCAATCCAAAGGAAATTATTTACGCCTAATTCGCTTCACTTAACGGCGGAAAATATATTTCCTTTGACCTTTTACTGATCTATTTGTATCAACTAAATAGAACAACAAAACAAAAATTCTGAATATATAGTATATTTGTATCGACACTTGGGTAAAGATGAACTAAAAGAACGGGGAACTTTATGCTTTTATTAATTTTCATGAAACAGATTCAATTAATAAACCTAAATTCTTTGTGACAATTAATCTTTCGGCCAAACATATTTAATATATCATCTTGGCGTTCTCGTTACGCCATCTACCGTGTCTCTAAAAAGTCTATCTTTTTATACCGTTATTGGCAGCTGCAGTAGCACCACTGATCTCAAAGATGCAAACCATATTTAGAAATGTCTGAAACATGATCTTTGAATGCTTCGATAAAAAAGTTCTCTCATGGTTGTATATGATATTGATTTATTCATGTGCTCTCAGTTATAACCGTTTTTTGCATTTGGAAATACCGACAAAATATGTAGCCCTCAGATTCAGAATCAATTTGCGCCCTGTCAGGATAACCGTTCTAAATTAAAACCACTGACATATGTGGTACCAGTACGTGAAACAGTTACCCCACGCTCCATCTCTATATACATCAGTCTTGCTTGATTCAATGAAAATATTTATATATTTTGAATGAAAAACAATAATCTGATCGTTTTATCTTCAATAAATTCTTCACTTCTTAAAAATCCCTGCATAATATGCTAACAAGCACGACAAAACTCCTTTGGTTTTTCACGTTATTCTCAGCGATATAGACTATTACTCATTTTAAGTAACAATTCAGGTTTGTCACGGTTCTTTCTTAACAAACACTCTAGACAGTCTTCCTCTTAGCACGTTTCGTATATTTTTCACGAGCATAGAATCAGTGGGTGATTACATAACCTAACATAGTCATGCATCCATTTAATAACTTAAAATGACTTTGATACCGAGCTAAAGCGAATTCGTTGATTTGTACAACAGAGCACAAATAAATACCAAAATGAATTGCTTTAGCCGGGAAGAATGTCCTTTTCACCCAAGGGAATTACTCAAGGCCAGCACTTTTTCCACCGAATGAAAGTTCTGTAATAAGTTCTTTGGGGTGGTGAATTTCTGCGCGAGCCGTCCTTCAGTAGTTCCGGGATCCAAAGGCACCTTGTCGAACTAACACTTCCGGTAAATTCATTATAGCGTCAGAATGATCACTGAAAACAGATTTATAGAAAAATAATTATTAGTATTATTTTTTTTTATTTTTTTTTGTTTTTTTTTTTTTTTTTATTACTAACATTATATCCAACGAATTTAATAAGTGATTATTGATAAAATTCGTTGCATACAGTTATCATATATTAAAGCTAATTATATATAATATATATATATATATAATTATATATATGAATAGATACTGAAGCCCGATCAATGTGCAGGCATAACCATGAAACTGAAATTGGTTTAACTTAAAATCGCCTCTTCATACGTATTTTATTCGAAAGCTGCCACATGTTAACATTCTGGCAATTATAAAGGCAGCCATGCCAAATTTAAAAAATCAATATATTATTTTATGAAAATGTCATACATATATCAAGGCTTGTCAGCCTACATAGAATATTCAATCTATGTAGCAATAAATGGCAGCTGCGCCAATAAATACTTTATACATTTATCAAAGCTTATTGCAGCCTAAACAGAATATTTCAATCTAATGTAGCCGATTATATAGGCAGCCACGCCCACATTAAAAACTAGCAGATATGACTTCTTATAAAAAATACATGTATAATCATTCATTAAAACAACGGGTACAATCTATCTTTGGGAGAATTGAAACTAAATGAAATAAATGTAATAATTTACCCAGCTAGAAACGGGTTAACCACTATATGTACTGACTATAATTTAAAAAATTATTCTCAATTCCAGCATTCTAAATTTAAGATTCTCATTTTCCAAATATACCCTTTCATTTTTACAGCAACTGTGTAATTTTCTTTGTTGTTGTAGACAATCCAGTCACAATATTTGAAATAATTTGCCTTTTTTGAACAATAACGGCAAAATTTAGCCGATTCCCAAAAGGCATAGTCAATACACCTTAGTTTTATCTAACTGCATCTTTTTGATAACTCTAGCTAATATAATAACTGGTGATACAAAAAAGAACCCATTTTTTGACCAAAATTAGGCAATGCGTCTAAGCCTGAGCTGTCTCATTCCAAAATTGAGAATAATGTGGGGTAACTTATGATATGACTGGAGCAAACCATTCCACTTCAAGTATGCCCATTTATTTTCAATCATGTGTAAAATATGACGGGATATTCCCCAATCATCTTTAATCAATTTCTTGGACAAATAATCAGATTTTTCATTTCCCTCTCTTGTAATCCATTCACATCCAATATAATGCTATTCTCAACAATGAAAGGGAGATATATTTAGAGCGATTTCCTTGCAAATCAATTTTTCAATGGACCTTTTTTAACAATGGTGCTAACAGCCTGTTATCAGTAACATAACACTTGTGACCTATCAATATTTGTCTAAGAGATTGTATATACTCTAAAAACAGCAGTTAACTCTCTCCAGTAGAGGATCTTAAGACTTTCAGTATTTGACCATAAACCTGAGCCACCCATTTACAGTTTCACTCATAACCTGAAAATCCCTGTGACCTGGCGTCACTATAGACAATAACACTTAGTGAAAATATCAACAATATGTACCTTGTTAATACAAAATTGTAATTTTCTTCCAAAAATTTAATTGAGCCATGCTTTCTGCACTTAAATGAATGGTAAGATACCAAGAAAATGCGCTGACTTATATTAAGCTTAATTCGTGTCTTTATTTGAGAAATATGCCCAACACAATGGACATAGATATATATCAGACCTACAAAACTGGCAACTTTTCACATGAACCGCCTGTTTTCTTTAGCTGGAATTTTCTAACATCCATTAAAGTATTAACGTCTTTGGAACCCTTCATCAGTATATAACAACTGTTTTAGAAAGTAGATATAAGAACAGTCCCAAAAACTCAAAGATTTTGCACTGGTACACAAAGACTTTTCTTGCCTAGGGAGCAACCCAGATTCAAGAAGACAATTTTTTACTGAAGTGGCAGTATCTTGGCAACCAG